AGGGGAGGGGGATGTGATTGAGGTGCTTGAACTGCACCTTCTTCCTTTTGTCCACTGGTAACAGTACATGAAGGCCTCGGAGGTGGCTTTGGAATATGCAAGGCCCGCTTCTCAACATCCAAAGAAGCTGTCACTTCACTAGTGTCCTGGAGGTTGGTATAAAACTGGGGCCTTTGAACCGTACCTAATCCATACTTTTGAGAAATTAATGGCTCTGCCGCCTCTGCCTCCTTTTCAACTTCCTTTGAACATAAGAAACCATCAGATTGCCTTCTCTTATTCAGTGTCAACTCCTCAGCACAGAATTTTGATCCACTGATAGAGTGCCTTCTGGGACTATGTGAGTCAACCCAACTATGATCTAAGAAATGATCTGGGGATTCTACATTCTGCAAATCTTCCTCAATAATAGGCCATTTCTTCAACTTCGTTATAAGACTAATTTTCTTTGTACCTATAAAGTCAGAGTTTGCATCACTTTGACAAGGCAACATGCTAATGGATCCTCTGCTCCTTTCTACTGAATTTGGGCTACATGTCTTATCGGAACTCAAGTTAGAGAAATTGCGCAATTCATTTCTCAAACATGAATTGACCCATCGCAGGTAGACAAGCTCCTCAACTTCATTTAACCGATTCATTTGTAGCCCCTCAACTTGTTTACACAGATCTTCATTTGTGTGTCTTAATAGAGATGCCTCTGCTTTAATTTTCTCAACCACATCGCTCTGAAAAAGAACACAAAACCAGTTCAAGAAAACAAAAGCAAAAACCAAATGCCACCCCAACACAAAACATACAAGCTCTCCGTGATTGTTGACAAAATGTAGCAAGAATAAAACAGAACAGACTGTGAAACTTAAAATTTAAGTCTTAAACATAAGAAACAGAGCACTCTAATCATCTGAGCTTAACAGAATACCAGAACTATCTGGATTTGACAATGTCACCTATCCCTATTCTGGAAACCCAAACACTAAGAAACAAATGACTCAACACACACACACACACACACACACACTCTTAAAACACACTTTTTCATTTCCCCAGCAACCAGACCAAGGGTAAAAGAACTGACCAAGGTCACCCAATAAAACAGCTCTAACCTAGCAGAAAAGTAAACAGAAAGACAAAATGATGATACCTCAGAAACTTTTGCAAGAGTGGCCAATTGGGACTCCATGGAAGAAAGCTTGCAAACAAGATTCCTCTTTTGAAGCTGCAGCTCCTTGTTGAGGCGCCTCAATTCAACAACCTCCATTTCTAGATTATGGGAAGTTGGTACCATCAAATTTTCATGGTCTTCCCTTTTCAATATGTCATCCTGTCTCTCTAAAGAAGGGGACAAGGATACCAATTGTTCAGAGAGGGTAGTNTGGGAAGTTGGTACCATCAAATTTTCATGGTCTTCCCTTTTCAATATGTCATCCTGCCTCTCTAAAGAAGGGGACAAGGATACCAATTGTTCAGAGAGGGTAGTCTTCTCTAACTCTAACAAACTCACTTTAGTCACAAGATTCTCTATTTCACTCTTCTTCAATACAAGTTCCTTCTCAAGCTCCAAAACTTTCGGATTCCTTTTACATTCAGACAATTCAGCCTGGAATTTGAATTCCCTTTCTTTTGATTCTTGTAATAAGCCTCTCAGATGATCTAGTTCAAGAAATAAATCACGTGAACCCGAAGATTTCGACCTATGAATGTTAAGTGTATGGGGATGCACTTGTGCAGCAGTAACTGAACATGATAAGTCTCCGATAAGGGACCGTTTCACCCTAGAATGTGAGAGCCCAAATGGGTTCTTCTGGTTCACGATGTCTGAGCTTGTAAGTGGGAGTTTCTTGCTTGGTACTGTGGTCTGCAACTTTGTTTTCTTATCTGCTGAAAACCCTTTCACAATGTGAGACCCCCATGAAGACCTTACTCTTGAAAGATTGCTATTTCCTTTAGCATTGGCAACCTTTGGCATCTGATTTTGGTCAGAAAATTTTGATGATTTCACTCTGCTCTCGGATTGGTTTTCTTCTCTCATTGTGAACAAAATTTCTTGTTTGACAGTGTGAATATCTCAATCGAATAAGTTCACAAACAGCCTCAAATCCGTACAAACTTTACCCTATAGTTAAAATGGCAGAATCCATTCTATCCTCTGGAACTGCTTCAAGAATTCAGCTCTAAAATTCATAAACTAAGGTTTTGCCAGACCCCAAATTTAAAGCTCCAAAACCCTGAAGGGGAAAATGGATTTCTTTAAATGGAGCTAAAAACCAGTAAAAAAGTGAGTATGACTGTTTTTTAGGGCTTGAAGATCTTTTTTTTTTTAATCAGAGAGCGTTGGGAAGGGTTTTCTTGATCAAGTGTTTATCACTCCAAAAAACACTAGCAGACGAAATGGGAGGTTTCATAAAACAAAACCCTTGAGAAGGGTTTAATCTGGGATTGGAGAACAAAAACAAATAAGCAAACACCCTGTCGCTGTTTTCCTGTTCCCTAAAAGAAACAAAAAAAAATAGTTTTCCAGTCACATCCAAACAGGCCCCTTAGCTATTCCTGAAGCATGAAGGCTATATGGTGAGAAAACAGAACAAGGGTTGTTCTTAAGTCAAGCTAAGAGCGTGGGTTTTAACCTTTTGACAAACAATCATGTTTGAATGCTGAAAACTCCTTAACCTTGTTGAAGTCTCACTACACTGAGAGAGAGAGAGAATTTGAATGTGCAATGTATAGTTTGTAATGAAGGGCTCAGATTTTGAGGTGTTGGGTTGGGGAGCATAAGGTGGTGGGAGGAGGCTCCGATGGTGATATTTCTGAGATGAGCGAGAAAAGTGGCACTGTGTCGCAGCTAAGCTTTTTTGGCATTTCAATTTTTGAATTTTGAATTGTGGAGACTGAACAGCGAACAGTGAACAGAGTGCGGTGGCACGGTAAGAATGCAACGGTCTCATTCTGCCTGGACGGCTGGACCCCACATGTGATGTGGATTACGGGTTGGGGGTGGCTCCAATCCGGATCAGATCGGACTTTCTCAATCCACATGCTACCGTGGAGTGGATCAAATCAACCCTACCATTTTGGAGCCCTATTGCAAAACAATTTGTCCGAATCAGCTATCATTTATCTAGTATTATGGGTAATCTGTGCCAGAAGGCATGATACAACGTAAGTGGAAAAGTGATGAATTTGAAAGGAAAGAAATTTAATGTGAATGGTTTTGATAGAGATATTTGTGACCGTTAGATTAGTCTATTTGAAACTTTCGAATGGACTTATTGAAATTTATCCTATTTTATATTATAAATTTAACACAAATAAAAGCAATATTCTATAATTTTAAATTTTCTTACAAATTCTATATTTTACTCTTTTTTGACTATATATTTCATAATTTTTGAACCAAAAGAGGCTCTAACAAATCATACAAATACTCTAAAGAATCAATTTTAGTTTGCAAATTTTAAGAGATTTGGTATAAACTTTTTTTTTCGTTCTAGTACCCAACTTATTTAATCTAATTAATTTTTTTTTTCATAAATCATTACAGTGGACCCAATTAATAGTATCCAAAAAAATATATATAAAACATATATAACTAAAAAAAAAATTCAAGGTGGCCTCAAACTTTCCAAAAAAATATATAAAACACATTCTAACACACATAATCCGAGTTGGAGTAATCACTAGAACTTCAGTTAGAAGAATGAGAATCTCATTCCTCACGGATCTAATTCGTCTCATAAGAGCCAAACCACCTGCCCACCTACCAACCGCCTCATAAAATAAATATGGAGAATGTTGTGCACCAATTCATCCAAAGTCAAACTACCATCAATAATCAAACCGCCGTCACTTTCAATGATATTTGGACTCAAATTGATGCCCCTATAGCATTGGTCAATTTTGTGATTTGAGTCATCTGAGCCCACCAAAGAGAGTTATGGGAAACTCAAGGCGGTCACCAAAGGCCACATTGGAAAAAGAAAAGGAGATTAAGGGCAACACCGAAAGGGAGTGAGACAAGTGAAAAAGCAAAATTTGTTGATTTGAATGTGCATGCATGTCCTATTTCGACCCCTTTTCCCCAACATTTAAAGCCACCGGTGAAGGTGGCTAATTATTCTGACATTATTGAGATGTTTAAGCAAGTGAAAATTAATATCTCACTCCTCGATGTCATCAAATAAATCCCTTCACCACCTTGGACGGCATTACAATTTAAATTCATTCACATCATGAGAGTGACTAATAAAATTCATCAATAAAAAAATTATATTTACCAAATGTAATATTTACGACATCATTCTTAAAAGAATATACCAACACATGACTATTATATCTCAAAAGAATATGATCGACTATGACAATTACATCCCAAAAGAATAAACTCGCATCAGAATCACAAAAGATTAGTCTTTACATAATCTCAAAAGAAATTTTCTAGTCCAGCACCTAGGAGAGTATAACCCTAGACATCCACCTCGGGATCCACGAGCCCGTCCAGTGGAGCTTCCCAATGTATCAGCTCCTTAACTCCGAGCTCCTCCTCTAAACCACAATCTGAAAAATATAGTTTGTAAGGGGTGAGCATTAAGCTCTATAGCAACATTCCTCCCAAACTCAAACAAGGTTTAAAAAACATATAAAATAGTTCGGTCTAATTTTGAAAATATCATATATCAATTTTTGAAATAAAACTGGGACATTTCAACGGATTTCAAGTTTACGCAATAGCAATAATTTAAATGAACAGTAAAAATGAATTTCCCAATACTAAACTATTTCCCACAAGTTCTTGTAGAGTCTCATACATCTACAAGCTCTTGTAGGAAACCAATTCCACACAATAACAATAATCGTTCAATAGTGTCATCCCATATTCTCATGTATGTTGGTTGCTTCCCATGAATCTACATAACGACTCTACCTCGTTCACTCAATCATAACCACACAAACCACTTTAGGAAGGGCGTATACCGTCTCCCACGGCATTTACGAATCCTTCCCAGAAAAGGTATATCATCCCTCAGCCTCAAACTTACGTGAACAATAGTGGTTGCTCTCACAAACAACAAATCACTACAAGTATTAGAAAACCATCTCACCCCCACTAGGATAGACTAACCTCTAACACTCTACGACAATGCTCGAATGTAATTCAAGTCCATCATAACAACCATACAAGAGCTACAATAATGAGCATTTTCTCAAATCACAAGGAAATTCAAAATTCTCAATTTTTACAATTTATAATACAAGAAAACAATCTTAAAAATAAGCAAGAGATCATCACAAATATCATTTTATTACTCAACACAAAGCACTAGGGTTTCGAAATCAAGAACAAAGGAAGAATCAAGAGAAAAATTCATTTATCTTGAAAATTAGGGTTTTATGCCAAGAAAAGAGATTTAAGGGTTATTCAACCATTACTTTGCTTAAAACATGTTGGTCTTTGTAAAGATACCAAGAAATAAAGATTTCATAGCATATATATAAGGTTTAAAGTCAAAAGAATACATATAGATAAGCCCTAGCCTCAATGTAAGAGAATAGGAAGAAACCCCTACCTTGGTGTTCTTGAAAAAACTAGGATTTTGATCTTCTTGAAGTGGAAATCTCCTTTGATCTTGTGTTTTTCTCTTCCTTTCTTCCTCTCTAAGGTTTCCTAGGGTTAGAGATGTTGAAATGGGACTAAATGGGACGTCCTTAGATATTTATAGTGGAAGGAAAGCCGGCAATTCGCGACTTAAAATTTCAAATTTTTTGAAAACCTTCTGGAAGGTTTTTCATCAACCTTCCAAAGGTTTGCCTATTAGATAAACCTTTTCATTAACCTTCCGAAAGGTTTGTCGTCGACCTTTCGGAAAGTTTTGTCTACTAGACAAACATTTTCATTGACCTTCCGGAAGAACATTTACATTAACCTTCTGGAAGGTTTGTCTACTAGACAACATTTTCATTAACCTTCCAGAAAGTTTTTCATCAACCTTCCTGAAGGTTTTGCCTATTTGTCTACAAATCCTTCCTTCTTCATTTTCAATCCATTCCAAACCCTTCCAATTCCAACCCAAGCTTATACAATATACTTTTGTACATCAAACCTAGTTGGTACAAGTTCTATTACAATGATTTCATATATTTGCAAGCTAAAACTAAGTTTTAACTACTATTTACTCCAATTTTTCCATATTAACATTTCAAAAGAAATAATAACTTGCTATATAAACCTATATACATATATAAAGATAAAAGTGTGGGGTTTACAGGCATCTATTCTACTATTTCTTGGATGGCTACTTCGGGTATAATTAGATAGAAATAGCATTGGAGGATCAAGAAAAGACCACCTTCACTTACCCCTTCGGTACTTTTGCCTACCGACGCATGTCATTTGGGTTGTGTAATGCCCTAGGGACCTTTCAACGATGCATGATAAGGATCTTTAGTGACATGGCGGAGAAGATTGTGGAAGTTTTATGGATGATTTCTCAGTGTTTGGGCGATTCTTTCAATGGTTGTTTGGAGAACTTTGAGAGAGTACTTGAGAAATGTGAGGAGAAAATTTTGGTTCTCAATTGGGAGGAAGTGTCACTTCATGGTGACACAAGGGATAGTTCTTGGGCACATCATTTCAAAGAAAGGGATGAAAGTCGACAAATCTAATGTGGAAGCAATTTCCAACCTCCCTACTCCGCAAGTCATCAAGGACATCAGGTCATTTCTTGGTCATGCCGACTGTTATCGTCGATTTATAAAAGATTTTAGTGCTTTGAAAAGACCCTTGACCAATTTAATTTCAAAAGATGTCCCATATGTGTGGTCAGATGATTGTGAGGTATCATTTAAAAAACTCAAAAGCATGATCACTTTGCCTCCTATCATACGACCACCCAAGTGGGACTTACCATTTGAGCTCATGTGCAACGCGAATGATTACGCAGTCGGCACAGTGCTCAATCAAAGGAAAGATAAGAGACCTTATGTAATATATTACACTAGTAAAACTCTTAATGAAGCACAAATGAACTACACTACCACTGAAAAAGAGTTGCTAGCGGT